TGTTTGTCAGCACTACTTTCTCAAATTTATGGCATAGAAAAAAAATCACTGAAGTAATATGGATGAATTGGCACTACAATAGTGATTAGGATTCATGTGCATATACTATAGAATCCATATGGAAGAGACAAGTGAGTCCTTATTATCTGTCCAGCTCATTGTATGTTACACATAAGGCCATAAAAGCAAAAGATCATGCAATGTTTAAAAGTATATACATGTTTACATAATTAACATATAATACAACCATGTACACAAAATTAATAATAATTTTTTTTTAATGAAGCAAGTTAAATATAATTGCCTGTGAACTAAGTTTATGCTACATATTATAGATAGTTTACAGCAAAAATTGTTTGCATTAATCTAAATCAATGCATTGTATGTAGCTCATAAGAGCACTAGTCATTTGACTTATTTTATCCTTTATATCTTCAGCAGAAGGATCTGGAACCTGAGCCATAGCTTCAGTTATCAAAATCTCGCTGCTTTCTAAACGCTCTGAAAGGCATTGGATTTTCTCCATTAGAGATTTAATTGGTTTCTGAAGATGACTGAGAATTTGATATATCTTTTCAAAATATTCCTGAAACTGCCTATAGCGCTTTCCATCTCCCTGTAATTTCGAAGCTTTGTCACTCACATTCACTATACCACTCATTAGGCTCTTGAATTCTTGATCCTTATCAGAGGTTGTTGGCAAGTCCATCATAGAAAAAAAATTGCCAACAAACGCTGATATTGCATTTGGTCCAACGCTTCCCAAATCTTGTTCACTTTTTATAGCCATTTTTTCACATTCATGTACTACAAGCTTGGCACTCTTACTGACACTATCATGTATCTCAAAATATTTATCACGAAGATCCAGACATTCTGAGGACAGCTGCTTCAGAAAATATGCTCTACAATCAGCTCTGGAATTTTGTAGCAGATCTTCTACTTTTTCCCAGAAGGTTGCTACAGTTTGGTTGAAAGTAATGAGATCTTTATAAAAACTTTGCGCTTCTTTTAAAAACTTGACTTCTTTGTTAAGTTCAATATACTTTATTATTTCTTCCAAGGAATCTGTGGTTGACCTGACACTTGCTCTCATTTCTTTAGAAACATCACCAATGCATTCATGGACCCTCTCAATTTTAAATTCAACTGTAAATTTAAGGATTTTTATCTTAATGTGGCTTTAGAAATAAACTTACCGTATTTAGGATGAGTTGCTTTATCAACATGAA